TATGCTTTCTAATGTTGAAATCAGCTTCCAAAACCAAAACATTTTGAATAAAGCAAGAAACAAAGAGTATGCAATGTAACCATCTAATTTATTTTCAAATCCTCATTCTTAAAAGTGAAATTCTATATTTTGGAAATTTTGCATTAAATCTGTCAACTACGCTGTCATGGTCGAGGTTGCTTCACCTATCACGATGTATTCCAACCATCATGAGGCTATCTAAATGAGCATTTGTCATAACAGAACGCAAATTATTTTAAATTAGTCTCATTGAATTATTATTATTATTATTATTATTATTATTATTATTATTATTATTATTATTATTATTATTATTGTTATTGTTGTTGTAATAAAAAGTTAACACAAAAAATATGGTGCTAAACGAATATTACATGTAAATTTTTTTTTTATTTGTTTGTTCCCCGACAAAATATATCGTCTTCCCCGACGGGGGGGGGGCTAAGCTTCCCCGAGGGGGGGCTATAGCCCCAGCCCCCTTTGGCGCCACCACTTCCCCCCGCCACCCCAATTAAGTTCTCTTTTCTCATTCTCCACTTGTGCATTCTATTTTTTTTTATCTCTCAACCTTCAGACATCTCTCTGACCGAGGACGGGTCGAAATATTGAAATAATTATGTGTTTTATGTATACATATTTAATATATATAATCATTTTATTTCAAACAAACAAAACAAAAAGCCATAAAACCTAGGTCGTGACTTTAAAATTAGAATAAGGCAAGGTAAATGAACAGAAAAACAATTACAAAAGCAAATGACATTAGAAAAAGTATAGGCCTACATAAAAACAGTATACCGGTAGCCTATATAAACAATTAGATATATAAAATTCGAATTTAAATCAACGACCTACTGTACACACATGTGATTTGCCTTCATTCTAATTGTTTAAGTTTCATTTTAATAATAAAATTGTTTTAACTCATTTACTACAGGTATTAAGTCCTATTTAGATTTCAAACATTCCATGACCAAACACCATAAGGCACAAGTTCCAAAAAACACAGATAGAATAGGCCGTAAAATCGCTTACATAGCCAAAGCCAGTGGCTGATTCAAGGGGGAGGGGCGAGCCGCTCCCCCTCCAATTATGTATGGTATAAATTTCAAAAAATACCAAGTACTAGAAGGGCCACACCCCCTCAGCACTATCATACCCATGTTTTTCAAAGTGTCTTAATTTGACAGTATTGCTGACGTTCAATACATCACAAATATTTTTAACGACAATAGGAAAAAATGGTAAATACCAGTCAACAGCTGATATTTATTCTCGAGCACATACGGTAGTTGGATTATAATAATAAAATATAATATAGAACAATAAAATATTACGGTAATTATGGAGAAATTAAAAATATTTTAGATTACACTTCACGCCGGAATCATTTTCCTTCTGTTTTCTTAAAAGACTTCAATAATTTTTAAAGTAATCGGTCTTACTTGTTGTCCCTTTTTTATCTCCTTTTGAAATTTAAATTCATATCATTACACATCTTAGATAACCCTTTTTAAAAATCTCGGCACTTAGAAGAGTAAATGAACGGATTAACACACATATTACAGATGGACAGAAACACGGTTATACGATGGGCAGTAACGTTTTCCATAACATCTGACTTATTTCCGATAACATTGAGCGTGAGGTATAGGAACATGGTAGGTGTCCAACAAACGACATATGCTACGGATACAGCAATGAAAGTGCTGTTGAGATTTTTCTGAACACGGTACCGTTGTTGATTGCTGATGGAACCGACACCGTCCTGGACGCCATTGTGCATTTTTCGCAACGAAAGAATAATTGTTGTATAAACGTAGATAATAATTGAAATCGGGACCAGCCATTCAAGAGAGAAGAATTCCAACAATAAACTGAAAGATTTCACTTTATTCCGTCCAATCCTCATAACAATAATAATTTCCATTAATTTGCGTGACAAATATAACGTGACATTGTACCAGGAATCCGTATACATACACTATCGGTATACTTGCTTGGAAAAACTTTCCGTTTTTGAAATGAACAAGGTGTTTGATGGGATGCACAATAGCATAGTATCGTTAAATTGTAATGAACAGGAGGTTGGTGGTTGATTGATGAGGCGTCGCCAGCCTGCTTGTTTTGTATCAGCCATCCTTCCGGAATTACATAAAACGGTAGAAATACAACACTGGACATCAGATCAATAATTGATTGGTGGATGATTAATCAGGCAAATTCCGAAGGAACACAACCAACACCAACACATTCGCTAAGACACCGACCACACCAGTGGATGCATAGATGCAGAACCAAGCACGTCCATCGGGACGCAATGTCTCATTGCCCCATGCCCAGCTGAGATTCAAATCTCTACAGCTCCAATAAGGTGTACTTAAAGCAAATCTGCAAGTAATGAAGGAACGGACAGTTCCAAGCGAGTATCAATACCGATGAGTTTTATTTCCGAGTGAGGACAGAAGTGTTACTTATACACTATTGTATTTTTTTTCGGTAAATAAACTTCAACTAATCAACGAGTTTGCATTTACTAATTTGACGCAACCCTTCTGTTTACCACAGATTGTGATGACGTTATTTACCTCTGTGGCTTGTTGACTCAACCACCAACATTAAAAGGCGTCAAAGACAGATCTAGGAATGTCCGAAGGGGGGAGGGGGTAGACGAAAGGGAGACCAAAAGTGGGTCGATCAAGATAACACTACCCTAGGGGGTCCGGGGCATGCCCTGCGAATCTTTTGTATTCTATACGCCTGAAAATAACCTCTTATAGTAGAGCGGCTAAGGTTGAATTTCTGGTGGAATCGTGCACTTCTGGAAGAAAGCATGAAACTTCCCACAGTGATACTATGACACCTAAAGATCATTTAAAAAAATAGACCCCAAAAAATAACGCCTCCTAATGGCCACCAACTTGAAATCCAATATGGCCGCCAAAATATTTGATTTTAGCCAATATATTCATATCTACAGCACATGTCATTGCCAAATGAAGATCATTACCCATGTTTTCAATATCAGGGAGTGTCATGCAATCATCAGAAATTATGTCAGATTGCGCCGCCATATTTGATTTCAAGATGGCCGCCAGATTAATGATATTTTTATCAATATTCATATCTACAGTAAACACTGTCAATCAAAGACCGTTGCCATGTTTTCGATATCAGGGACTACCATGCAGCCATCAGAAATTATGTCAGAAAACCACCATATTAAATTTTAAGATGGCCGCCATCTTGAAATTTAATATGGCCGCCAAAATAATTAATTTTAGCCTATCGGTATTCATATTTACAGCACATATCACTCCAACTGAAGATCATTACCCATGTTTTCAATATCAGGGAGTGTCAAGTAATCATCAGAAATTATGTCAGATGGCGCCGCCATATTGTATTTCAAGATGGCCGCCAAATTATTGCTATTTTTGTCAATATCTTATCTACAGCACCTAGCACTGTCAATCAAAGACCGTTACCCATGTTTTCGATATCAAGGACTATCATGCAGCCATCAGAAATTATGTCAGAATGCCACCATTGAATTTCAAGATTGTTGCCATACTATTTCAACATGGCCGTCAAATTAATTATTGATAACGTTGTAAATATCGTCATATCTACAACACCTAGCACTGTCAAAGATCTCT